TGCGGAGCCTGGGGCAGGCAGCAGAAAAGCTCCAGCAAGCAGCTGGGAGGTTGCAGGGCCAGGAGGAGGAGACCAGGCTGCAGCAGGGCAGGAACCAGAGCTCACAATTCCAGAGCCTGCCCAGGAAGGTGAGATTCTCGGGCTGCCTGGGACCCACGTGCAAGGAGCACATCCCCCCGGTGTCATCAGATGCGGCACATCAGGGCAACCTGACATTCAAGGTTAGGTGGGCTCACAAACAGTGGACAGGCTTGGGAGGGGAGCAAGAAGAAAGAGAAAGAAGGTCCATCTTTTTGGATGGACCTCATATTATAGATTAATATAAGGGTATATACCATTGGATTCCATTGTTTTGCATTTGTTAGGTAAAGTCAAGTGGTAGTTGAGCCCTTCACCCCGGAGATGTGCCATATGGAAGGTCGGTCTTGAATGTGGGCACCATGTTCTCTGTGCACTAAGTGGTTCAGCACCTCTCTGATGAGTTTCAGCAGATGGTCAGGGAGAGACAGAACGTCCTGGATAGGGCCCTTGGTCAGCTGCAGTTCCAACGGGAGTTGAGCCGCCTCCAGCTCTTGCACACTCAGGTACTGACCTCTGGACTTGACCCAGGAGATCTGAGTTTCTATCTCGAACAGAAGCTTCAGAGAGAAACTCCCAACCAGCTAGGTGGGATAGGCGGGAACCAAGCACGGACCTCAATTCTCACTATTTCATCCTAGATCATTGTCTCAGGAACCCCAGTGTGTTTGGAGAATTACCCTGGAGACATATTCTACAGGACAGGCTCCACCTCTCTCAGGGGCCAGGCTGCTGCCTGCCCACTGCTGATCCCATTCCTGAAGTACCTCACTGCAATGATAGTAGAAGCTCAAGGCCACAGCCCAGGGCTGGAGGATCAGAGGCCGGGAATAAGTAAGGCTGCTCACTTTGCCAGCATTTCCTTCTGCTGCCATCCTGGTCATATTTAGATAAGTCCTAATGCTATAGTTAAGGGATCAGGGAACATAGGAGTCCAACTATGGTAGGTTCTTTAGTTAGCTATGGCTGTGTAACAAATTACCCCCAAATAGCATAACTTGAAATAACAAACATTTATTTTCCCATGGTTTAATGGGTCAAGAATCTGGGTGCAGCTTAGCTGGGTGCCTCTGACTCAGGGCCTTGCATAGGCCACAGTCAAGATGTCGACCATGGCTGCAGTCATCCCAGAGCTTTTCTGGGGAAAGATTCATATCCAAGCTCACTCTTGTGGTTGCTCAGTTCTCACTGGCTATTGGGCAGAGACACCAATTCCTTACCCTTTGTACAGCAGCTCACAGCATAGCAGCTGGCTTTCCTTGGAGCAGGCAGGTAAATGAATGGGAGAAGGGCAGCAAGATAGAAGCCATAATCTTCCCATCACTTTTGCCATGTTCTGTTCATTTGAAGAAAATCACTAGATCCAACCCACACTCAAGAGGAAGGGATTACACCGGGCAGAAATACACACACACACCCCCCCCACACACACACAGGAGGATTACTGGAGCCATCTCAGAGGCTGCCTACCGCACATGATGCTATATCTGGCTCTTTCTGGCTTTGGTCAAACTCCTATGCTGTCTCTCCAATAACTATTTCATTCCCTTCTGTTCAGATGTGGATAAAACTGATATCAACTGAACCTCACCATTCTTTTCCATCTTGAAGAAAATAGACATCCGGTCCCAAGCCCACAAGGCAGAAGCTGAATTGCAAAGACAAGTGCCTCACAAGCCAGGTAACCTCCTTTTCCCTGGTACCTATGTTTGAGATTCATGGGCACTGAAGGTATGAAGGTATGAAGTTCCTGGTATAACCCCCAGGAACTAGAAATATTAGAATCCTACCTCGCTAAACATTCCTTTCTCTCCATCCCCATGCTAAGATTCCCAAGTAATATTTCCATATAAGGAAAAACAAATAGGAATCAAAGTACCACAGTAATTATAACTTGGCCAATTTCCAAAAGGAAATTTCATCAGCCCCCCACTCTCTGCCACTGAACCCTGAATCTGTCTGGGGATTTTAACCCATACCAGCCAGCCGCAAGTTACAAAAAATTAATGGGAAAGTATGACAGATAGGGAGAAAAACAGAGGACCCCAAAAATCTTTACCCTGCAAAAGGACCCCAGATCACTTTACCAATGCCATCCCTTGTAATTAGAAGTAAAGACAGATTGTGGTTCACCTGCCCTGAAGAACCCAGTGCGTTTCAACTCACCTGCCTCCCCAGCGGAAGAGAAGGAACAGAAAATGAATGTGAGCCTTTCACTAGGCCTTGATGCCAGCCCCTAGTTAAGCTTAGCTCCACGAACACCCCTAAACTTGGCAGGGATCAACAAACTCCAGTCCGTAGGCCAACTCTAGCCTGTACCTATTTTTGGATGGCCTATGAGCTAAGAATACTTTTATAGTTTTGAATGATTAGGGAATTAATATGTAAAGAAGAATGAAGTTTTCATGGCATGATTTACAATTAAGCCATGCACTATTTTAAATCTTTGGATATACTAACTCATTTAATTTTTACAACAACCTAATAAAGGAGGTACTATTACTCATCGTACAGATGAGTTAACAGAAGCTTCTGGATAGATGGAGCAGGTAGTCAGAGATTATATTGCCAATGAGCAGTTCTGGGATTCAGTCCCAGGGAGGCTCTACCCAGAAAAAGCATCTAACACTTGAAGGGCAGGGCCAAGCCATGCAGGCAACCCACTCAGGTGACTCCCCAGCCAAGGCTTTGTAGGAGAATGAGGCCACACTTCTAACTTGATGGCAGAAAACACAAATTCTGTACTTCAATTTTGGTTTTTGGCTGGCAAAGTCTAACATATCTTACTATCTGGTACTTTAAAGAAAAAGTTTACTGACTCCAGAACTTGACCTACCATGTTTCCCCCCAAATAAGACACTGTCTTATTTTTTTTTTTCTCAAGAAGACACACTAGGGCTTATTTTCAGGGGATGTCTTGCTTACCATGCCAAAATCACTAGGTCTTATTATCAGGGTAGGACTTATATTTAACAAATGCATAACAATCCTGCTAGGGCTTATTTTGGGGGTAGGTCTTATTTTCGGGGAAACACGGTATTATAAATTCCTCCTCCTTTGGAGGAAATTAAAAAGAAGATGAATCGGCTCGGCGCCTGTGGCTCAAGCGGCTAAGGCACCAGCCACATACACCTAAGGTGGCGGGTTCGAATCCTGTGGGCCATAGATTGAGGACGTCTGCTACAC